ACGTGCCTTTCTGGGAGGGGGAATTTACAAAATCCCACTGGAATTCATTAGTATATAAAATGTAATCACTAAAGAAGCAGATTTTACGAAATATAAACATAATATCCTATCATATTGATTCCTGGTCTCTGAAATGGAAGGAGGAACGGAGGCCGGAGGCAGTGACGGGCACCCTCAGCACACTATGAATAGGAGTTTGTTTTCATCTGGGATGCATGAGGGGTGAGAGTGCCCACGGCGAGCACTGCCAGCTAAAACTTTCCGCTTCCAAAACCCTGGCAATAAACACCAACACACGGTGTCAGCACCAGCAGTGTTTTCGCCAGCGTGGTTCCCTGCAGCCCGCTCTCCCCTGCTGTGACCAAGCACAAATGGCTCCGGACCAGCAGCGCTTCGAACCAGCAGCGCTGCGCCTGCAGCACAGCCCAGCCCCTGCGGTGCCCAGACGGGGCTGGTGGGCAGGGGGGCAGCCCCGCACCCCCTCACGCTGCAGAGCTGCCCAACACCCAGCACAGGCACTCGCTGCCCGAACCTGTGGCAAACTCCACCCTGAGGGACGGGAAAAGGGTGAAACGAAGCCAAAACCTAGCCGGTAATGATTTTCAGTGACCAAAGAATGAAAGTTGTAAGCAAGTAAGCAAAAGCTAGACATTTTTGCACAAAACAATTCATTGGGGGGGGGCAGGGGGAAGCTGTTTTGACAGCAATTTTCCATTGAGAAAGGCTGGCTGGCAGGTTACGTATCCAGATTTGCTATGTAACTGCAAGCCACAGCCTCAGTGCCGCCCACTCCAACTGCTGCGCGTTGGCAGTCGGTAAGGACCCTTCCAACAGCTTCCCCGGAGGACTCCTCTCAGGCGAGCAGACTAGGAGCGACCAAATATGCTGAAACAAGGCCAGTCCTTTGGGCCAGAGCCTGCCCCGAAAGATCAGGCAGGCCATTTTTACTATGCCTCTTGTCTTTGGCAGAAAAGGATCTATTCTCGTGCCGAGCAAAGGCATCGCTTCTCCCTTCCCACCTCCTCACACAGCAAAATGCTCTGCATATGTACAAAATATGCTCATAAAAAAATAATGACTGGACTATTTACAAAGAAAAGCTCAAATGAATGAAAGCATATCATCCACAACAGCTATAGCAGCAGTTGCACGTCTTCAACAATACCTGGCTTGATCTATGTTACATGCAGACATCAGCAGGGAGGCAGAGGAGACGGTAAAAAAAAAAAAACCAAAATAAAAAACCCACCCCTTCAGCAAAGTCCTTGATGTTGTCCTAGAAAGAGGCAGTCAAATTTGCCTTTCAGCTTACAAAACATACAAGCAAGGGGTGGATGCAGCCAGGATGGGATGGGGCAGGAGTACGCAGCTGTGTCAAAATCATCACCTCCTCACCGGTTCACTCCCCGGGTCAAGTCATGCAAAGAGGAGACCAGGATGTCCCCAGGTCCAGCTGGACGTGGGGGAAGCAGGTAGGCAGAGATCCAGGGAGACACCTACGCTTTCCTGTCACTGCGCAGGGCTGCAGGCTCCCTCCACCTCCTTGCAACTGGTGAGTAGCAACAAACAGCAAGAGAGATGGCAGCACCTGCCACCAGGCAACTGATGGGTTGAGGAAGCCACGACGGAGGAGTGGAAGATGGGGCGAAGGATCCTCACCTCCACTAGCTAATTTGCAGCAGGTGGCTCTGGGGCAGGTACAGGTAATGGCACATTTAAATACCAAATCTGGTGACACAGAAAGGTTTTCCTATGAGCCTTCTCAGAGAAAAGGCAACTGAAGAAAAACAACCCCCATCAGGACTTGCCCTTCTTCTATATGCTGCTATTATATGCCACAAATCTGAAATGAAGTTATGGAATATAAATACCAAAACAGATCCCTAAGTAGACAACAAAAATAAGTTAACATTTATAAAAAAAAATTACATACAGCAAGAAATCTGCATATTTTAAAATAATTTTCTTTGGAAACACACTTCCAGTCAGAATTCACCCCCAAATGGTCATTGCTGAATGTCGTAATTGCTCAGAAGCTGGTACCCAAGGTAGGGTAGGGAAAAACACCTTTACATTTTTGGTACAATGGGAAACTTTGCTCCCCTCTATGTTTTCATCTTCTTCCCCTCCCACCACATCCTCAGTGCTTTTTGGGAGGCCGTGAAGTGTGTCGACCTTGCCTGTGTTTAAACAAAATAGACCTCAACCTAGTGGCTTTTAATTTCTATATTCTTCTCTCCCTGCTTGAGTAAGACTTTGTATACGCGTAAGGAGCAAAGGCTTGGCAGATAGTCAAGATCCAGCAACTGGAGCAGACTGACTTCATTTTGTGGGGGGAACTGCACTCAAAACGCACCCTGAAATGCACCTGGGACACAATGAACATACTGCCTTCACTCCCTCCAATTCCAACCCTGGCAAGAAGAGCCTCCCAGTGTACTAGAAGGAAGCCAAGATTAAAACTCTTCAGTGGGCAGAAAGGCTGTAAAATCTCTCTTGGAAACCTGTGAGCAATGGTCCACGGTCCCGACACGTAATCCAGGAGATGGTCTGGTTCTCCTTCCTGCTGCACCAGATGCCCAGTGAGACCCTGGTGAAATCATGCAGGGGTCTGTTCTTCAGTTCTCCAACTCAACGACAGGGACAAGAGCCCGTCCCTTTGTCAGCGAGAGCCATGCTGACAAACAGATTAAAGACTGCCTGGTGTTCAGAGGCAGTAGTGTGGAGGACACCTAGGAAAGCATCCACTCAGGTCAGGAGAGGGGATTTCTGCAGTATCTATTTGGGATGCTCCATCCCTGGAAGTGTTTGAGGTCAGGTTGGACAGGGCTTTGAGCAACCTAATCTAGTTGAAGATGTCCCTGCCCATGGCAGGGAGGCTGGACTAGATGATCTTCAAAGGTCCCTTCCAACCCAAACCATTCCATGGTTTCCAGGGAAGTGATTGTCCCCTTGTACTCAGCTCTGGTGAGGCCGCACCTGGAATACTGTGTCCAGTTTTGGGCCCCTCAATACAAGAAAGACATTGAGGTGCTGGAGCATGTTCAGAGAAGGGCAACGAAGCTGGTGAAGGATCTGGAGCACAGGCCTTATGAGGAGCGGCTGAGGGAACTGGGGGTGTTTAGCCTGGAGAAGAGGAGGCTGAGGGGAGATCTTATTGCTCTCTACAACTACCTGAAAGGAGGTTGTAGTGAGGTGGGCGTTGGTCTCTTCTCCCAAGTAGTAAGTGATAGGACGAGAGGAAATGGGCTCGCCAGGGGAGGTTTAGGTTGGATATTAGGAAAAATTTCTTCATGGAAAGGGTAGTCAAGCATTGGAACAGGCTGCCCAGAGATGTGGTGGAGTCCCCATCCCTGGAAGTGTTCAAAAAACAGGTAGAGGTGGCACTCTGGGACATGGTTTAGTCTAGTCTACCCTTAATTGGTTTAGTGTGGACTTGGTAATGTTACGTTAATGGTTGGACTGGATGATCTTAAAGGTCTTTTCCAACCTAAATGATTCTATGATTCTATGATTTGTTTTTCAGTACAAGCTGAAGCGTGAATTTAAATCAGTGGCATACATCAGCATGGCCCACCTTCCTGATGCTTGAACAAGCCTTTTTTAGGGTAGTGAATTTGGCTGGGGAAAGCTATTAGAGAGAATCACAAAAAAAATTTCATCTTGCGGCAAAACCAAGGCATTGCCAACCAAACACAGACCGTGGTTTCAACTCCAAATTTCCCACCTTTCACAACAGCCAGGCTCTGGAGACGATCTCCAGCCTCAAAGGGAAAGCTCTTCTCAGCAGTCCAGACCCTAGAGCTTAACGATGTTTTCTGGGCTGCATGCTCTACTGGGACCACTGGGACCAAGGAGCCCCTGCACACCCCCATGGCCCTCCCCTGGGCAGGGGTCAGACACCACGCACTGCTCACGGACGAAGTTCAAGCCCGTGAAGATCTTCCTGTGCTTCCCCTTCCTGGGGCAGAAACCCACTCCACCCGCTGATGCCAAACCAAAGTCTCATGGCCAAATCCTTTGCTAACACCATGCAGCCGGCACACAAAACTGATGCAGGAAGAGGAAAATAGGGCCCCGCTTGTTGTCAGACCTGGGCTCACTTCTGCTAGCCACCCCACCACTGCAGCCACACCACTGGTGACTTCCGAGGCAAAGAGGTAGGACAGCTCTTTGGAGACACCCGTTCTTTTCAAGCCATTCAAGTACTTGCACCAAATAGTTTTATGGCTAAACCTGGCAATCCCTCTGCTGAGCGCATAGTCAGCAGAAACATCTGCTGGTGTTACCTGTGCGCTGGCAAATGACCATTCACCCAACAAGCAGCAACCACAAACCCTCCCACCATTTCACAGCAGCGGTGCACTTTAAAGCATATGAGTACAGAGTTAAAAAAAAAGTTAAATACAACAAAAACTGTGAGACCTCATACTTTGAAGAATGCAAGTCTTGCAGGTGCTTTCTTAACCAGGTGAAAGCTGGTGTTTGGCGAGAGCCTTTTTTTGTGCGTACACGTGGGGTACAGCTCACATCGGCTGAAGGGTGGATCTGGTCTAAGCCTGACAGTAGCACTGCAAAATCTGCTCCATGTATAATCAGGTAGAGTATCTGTGGGGAGGTAATTCCTGGGGCTACTGAAAGAAAGACCTTTGTGAGGCCTGATTTCATAGCAGCATTTAAGGTTAACTGGCACACAGAAGCAGTTTTCTTTCTACACGCTGGGGAAAACAAAAAAAAACCAGGAGAGGAAGGAAGGGAAGCACGTAGCCCCAGATTAGCTGACAGTGTCGCCGGGAGTATACCAAGGTGTGGCTTTTTTCCTTGTGATCCCTGTGCTACTAAGCAAACTGCAAGCTGCAGCAACAGGGCTGGGGAGTCCCGCATTACGCTTCCTTATTCCTGCATTACTGATTGACCACATGTAACCTGGTTCAGGATGCCCACCACAAAGCTTCCTTCACTGCAGCCATTCCCCAGTTGCCCATAAGCCAAATGTACAGTCATTTACAGCTGTCTGAACCAGCATCCGTGTTTCTCTCCGCATCTGCTGAGGCTGCATAGGTGGCTTCCACGCTGTGCCATATTCCATAGGTAAAGTAGATGATAAAGCCTGTGGAAGCCAAGGGGAGAGGGTACCGTTAGCTCTGTAAGGAAACACAAACCAGTACTCACACTGACCAACACAGGTTACACCAGGTGTTAAGTCCAGACATCCTGATGGCTAGCTTCTAGCAGACAGCCACTACCTTCCTTAGAAAAAAGCCATTAACACAGGCATCAGTCTTTAAAAGACAATCTATCTAGGCCCCAAACGGGGGGCTGATTACAGAATAAACCTCTCAAGCTTTTCAGTGAGTTCATTGCAGTCCATTCTGCAGAGAGCTTTCTCTCTCCATTTGTGTGCCTACAGCATCCATCCCAGTAAAGTACATCTGCAACTCAGGCTAATCTTAACAATTTTCATTGTAACAAATTCCCTGGGCATTTTAGGCAATTCAGCCTTCTCCACATAGCTACTGGGAGAATCTTGGGATGGAGCTCAGCTCCTTCAGCTCCAGAAACACAAGCCCCACCACCTGGACTGCAGTTCAAGGCCAGCCAACAAGAAATGCTGTATGGTTTCTTGTTGGCAACAAGACACACTGTGTGGTTTCTTCTTGGCAACGAGACCCAGAAGATGGTTCATGGGTTGTTGTTTCCTCCTCACAAAGGCTTCATGACCCTTGAATTTAAAACAAGGCTTGAGACACACTGCCTAAATGGCTTCAGTTAAGTCACTGAGGTTGCCCAAGGATGATGAGAGTGCAGGACCCCTCCCTGATACAATAAATTTATAGTTAACAAAATCTAGTAACTTTGAACATAGAATTTTTTACTGTCTCAAACTCACCTATGAGCATCCAGACTGCAAATCGTATCCATGTGCCTAGGTCTAGCTGCATCATGAGGTAAACATTCACAAAAATACTCACAACAGGAAGAATGGGCAAAAGAGGTACCTGAAGAAGAAAGAGGGATACATTACATCCACAGGGCAGATCAATGGGCAGGCAGGAACATCACGTCCCTTGTGAACGGGAAGTGATGATGGCTGTTACCCACACTTCAGCTGCCAGATCTGAGAAAAGGCAAGGTTAGACCAAAATGGAGGACATCAATCTCCTGTGGGAGAGGGATGTGAACAGTGCTGTTCACCTGTTTTAAGAATGGTTGTTCTTGTTTTGTGGTCTGGAAGGAGGCAAGAGGCAAATTTTAGCAGCAATACTAAATACTTGTGGGGAGAAGGAGAGACGAGGAAAACCAAGGACTGCATCATGACAGGCACCTTCTGAAGACCAGGAGAAGGTGGTAGGGAGAATGTCAGGAGGGACCTGAAGAACTTCATCTAGCAGGTACCAAGGCAATTAAGTAATATAGAGCAAATTATCCCAGAAAACCAGGAAATATGTAAGAGACAAGTGCAGCTGTACCAAGAATACCTTAATGATCTGAGATACAAAGAAGAATGAGACAGTAAAGACAAAATGCAAAAATCAGTATATAAAGAAATCGCACAGGCATGTAAAGACAAAAGCAGAAAGGACGAATTGTAACAATAGAAAGGTTTGTGAATATGGTGAAACCAAGAGGAAAGTGAACTTCACTCCTAAGGAAAAAGGAGATTTACAAAAAGAAACAGGCTGAAGTGCTGTAGGCCTTTCTTGATTTAAGCTTCACAAAAAAACCCGACCACTTATGGCGAGCAGCTGTTCACAGCATTACAGAAAGGGGATGGGCACACAAATTAGAAAATGGAAGAAGAATATTTTTCTAAATTAGGCTTTGTCAAGTCAGTAGGGACAAATGAGATTTCCCTAGGGGGGTGAGTTATGTACCCAGAGATTGCAGAAGTGATCTCTGAACTATTAATAGGCATCTCTCAGAGCTCTTGGTATACCGGTAAGGTCTCTAAAGACTGGAGAAGGGAGACAAATTACCTATTAAAAAGAAATACAGAAAAACAACTGGGGAACAAACCAGTCAGCCTTGGATTCCCAGAGAGACTTTGGAGAAAAATCACTAGACAGTCAGGTTCTAAATGTCTAAAGGACAACAAGGAGATAAGAAACAGGCATTACAGATTTCGCAGTGACAGGTCTAATTTTTTTTTTTCCTCGGACTGGGTAGTGGCTGAGGGGAAAAAAAGCAGGTAAAATATTGTGAGTGTAAGGCAATGAGATCTCCTCAGAAGGAAGTTCAGAAAATACAGTCTAGACGACAGTTCCTGAGTTTTCTGCTCCTGGTCCTTTCTCTTTCCACTTCTGGGACCATACCCCTAAGATGAGCTGCAAACACTACCCTGGGCAACTCTGGTTGGATTAAATTATTAACATTAAACAATTTACTGAAAAACTGTAATTGAAGAGCAGTCAAAATGAGACCAGTTTGGAGGATGCGATTAGAATCCAAAACTAATTTAATAAATTGGGGAAATGGCCTGAAATCAATGATAAAACATGACTTGCAGGATTATACTGGGGAAAAACAAAAACATCCCAGTGTTTGTTTAATACAGAAAGGATGGTGTGCTCGGACAGAGCAGGAAAATCATAGAATCATAGAATGCTTTAGGTTGGAAGGGACCTTGAGAGATCATCGAGCCCAACCCCCAAATGGCAGACTCCCTCATACTTAAGGCTGTTAAAGAGAGAATGGTCATCCCTTAGTCTCCATTTGGACTAAATAGGACATGAAAGTGCACTTTCTTAGAGCCTTTTAGTGAATACCCCTTTGATCCTCATACACAAGCTTGCTTCTTGGGTTCTCTCTCCTTCTGTATCCACAATCTGACCCTTCAAAACCATCCCCGTTTCCTCTGGTCTCTGTCTCTTCCATATCCTATAACCATCTGCTTTCAAAAGCACTGTCCTGCCCTTCCCTTCTGGCCACATCTCTGCACCAGGTTCTGCCCTCCCAGTTTCTCCTGGACTCCAGCACCATTTACATTTCCTTCCAAGTCCTCTACTGTCACCTCTAGCCTGACCACATGTGGCTTCCCCTCCCAATTCCCTCCTTCAACCTCTCAGCTAACCCCTTCAGTCCTTCCTTCTGTGCTGAATCTGCTTCTGCCCACAGGGCACTGCTGGGCAGCAGGCTTGCCATAACGCTGCTTCTGCCATGCATTATGCATTCTGCAGCAAAGCACCTACACTGACATTTGAGGTTAGACCCCAAGAGGAAACCACACTTAGAGGCTGAGCTCGGCTCTGGTAAGACATCCCTTTATGCACAAAGTGCAGACTATGAGAGGTTACAGTCACGCTAGCTGGAGAGCTCAGACCATCATCTCTATTGGCAGCCCTGCATGGAAAAGTTCACATCATGTTCTCTGCATGTCTATTTGGCCAAGTCCCTCCTTCTGATACAGGCCAACATGCACTTCCTCCTCCAACCAAACAGCTCTTTTCTAGCTACACCTCCCAGGACACTCACCTTAAAGGAGAGCTTGGTTTTGCTTTCAGGCTGTTTCCATATAACGAAGCTGACAACAAGAACAAGGATGGCAGCTATAATCCATACAGCCTTTATCAGAATGCTTGGCTCAAGGGCAGTCAGGATACAGCTACCCACGATAAGGAAACCTGTGAACATACACCAAAAGCTTACTGATTCTTTATTTAGGAACAGAAAAAAAACCCCAAACCACAAGCAGGCAAAGCGGAATCTGAGAGCTCAGCAAACAAAACAGCAACACATGAAAAAGCTCATTGCAAGAAATATGCCCTTCTCCCTATACCACCCCCCCCCACCAACCTGTGGATTTCTTTTCAAGTCATTTTCATCTGTAGATCTTCAGTTATTTTGACCATTCCAAGAACTCATCAAAATTACACCAAGGAGGTGAGCTTTCCCACCATGGTGAGTACAAGGACCTACTGGCTGGCTCACTGCCCAGTGCTTACCAATGATGAAGGTTGAGACGTTCACCACCGAGCCAGAGAATTTGGAAGGGTCTGAATTTGGGGGACACAGTATGGCTTTGAGGGAACATTTCTCCTCTTCCTCCGGCAGAAATCCAGCCTGTGACTCACTGGTGCTCACAGATTCATTGTTATCCGTCTCCTCTGTTGTCCTGGCCATCTGATATGCCAAATTAGGCTGCTCTGGCTGATACCTAGGAAAAGGGAAAAAAAAAAAACCAAAAAGTGTATTGGTTTGGTGCATGGTACTGTTAGTTTAAAAGCCACACAGATAGCCACGGCTGCACCCCAGATCACTATAGCACCAGAACAGGCACACATAACATCTACACCCTTCTGTTTGAGGGGGAAATCTGAGGAATAACGCTGTCATAATGTGAGCAAATATGGTCAGCTATTGTCACCTACAGCTTGGTTGTAATGTCAGTGTTTTAAACTGGATGGTGCTCTCTTTCATAAACTCTATCATCCATGTCACCAAAACATGATTGGGTGATAGCTTTGAGGACTGGAGAAGGAAGTGGCAGAGGGACAGACAGATGGGCACAACCAAGCCATCGGGCTATCCATGGCAGTTCAGCTGTTGTGTTCTGGCATGGAGGTGGCTGAGCTAACAGCTCAGCAGATACCGCACCCTGGCAGCTGCTGACTGCATCCCGCAGTGACGTTCCTGGTGCCCCATCCTCCTCCATTCCAGTCTCTTCTGCTGGCTTGTATGCTGCTACATAGGGAAGGAAGAGGTGAACGAAGAACGGTAATTTTTTGTTGTGTGTGTGGACAGCACCTCATTCAACAGGGCCCTGATCAGCAACCACATGGATCCATAAAGAAAAAACACTCTTCCAGCCTCAGCTGTCTTTCACAGAAGGTTTTGTCCGTGACTCTCAGCCACAAGCCTGACTAACAGAAAGGGCCATTTTGAAAGACACCTTAAAATCGCTCCTGTGGGGATGTGTTTGCAATGAGGGCATTTGTGAAACACTGCAAATTGAGAAATGCAGTGAAATCCTTGGCTCCAGCCACAGCAGGGTATTAGTGATAGAATGTTACAGCTTTGGAAACAATTCAGCTGCTACTTCATTAGGCAGACAACAGGCCAGCCAAATCACTACCCAGGCTGCTACAAGACAGGCTATCAGCTCTGCAAATCTACAGTGGGGAAAATGCCATATAATGGGTACAGCAGCTTGCAAAAATAAATTGAGAAGCCATTTACATCTGTATGGAGAAGAGGGGACTGGGAAATCAGAGGAAAAGTAAGAAAGGCAAGGAAAATCATCAAGGATTTTCAAGGGGCAGGGTGGACAGCACAGGCACAGAGCAACGGTATTACAATACAGGGTTGGCCCTTCACCTGCTGCAAGACAGTTCAATGCATTTGCTGGGAGCAGGCAAAAAGTTTCCACCAGATTTTGAGTAAGTCATTGAACACAAAGGTATTTTTCAGTAACACAGTCTTCAAAATACAGTCCTCATGGGTAGAGTGCTGTTGTCCATAAGGTGCCAAGCAATGAAATTATTAAATTTTCAGCTTGGGTTAGGGAAGTTATGGGAGCTCAGCGCTTCTAAAATGCATGCACTAAGGCACTGATCCTGCAAACACATGCTCAGCTTTTTTGCTGCTGCTAGACTTTATCTTGAATCCCCTTTCAAAAGTAAGACCACCTGAAACTGTATCCCCAGTGGGAACAAGAGCAATGACGACACAGGCATCAAGGACGACCTATCGCTCATCCCTACGTGTTGGCATATCTCCCAGGGCATTCAGGGTTGACCACTGCAAGAGTGGCACGGACCAAGGGTTAACCAAGTTCAGAGGACCCCCTTGCACAACTATCACAATCCCCTGTGAGCTCAAAGAAACAAGTTCTTCACATGCTTATAGCTGGAGATGTTCATGGTTTTACTGGGTCTATGGAAACTCTGAGGGTATCTGATCACTGTGTGGATTTCTGTCTGTGTGGTACAAGAGAGGCTGTTTCTACATCCATACCTCAGTACCAGCACGCAGGCTGCCACCAAGGAGTAAGCCAGGAGGGTCCCGATTGACATGAGATCCACAAGATCTTTCAAGTCGAAGAGAAAGGCCATAATAGCTGTAGGAGGAGAGGGAGGTGAGAGAGGGAAGAAAAATCAGTAACACGGCATAACATGCTCATCTCAGGAGTGTTAACAACGATGCAGCACACATGTGACTGTTGCTCAGGTCTCAGCTGGGGAGCTCGAGCTGTCCTGAGATGGGGAGAGGCAGGACTTGGCGCATGAATACCCCAAGCCTCGCAGGCTGTCCCAGCACAGCCTCACTAGCTGGAACCAGAGAAACCATTTACTACAGTAAATGCCAGCCTGTTTGTCTCATATGGGCACATTCACCCAACTAGCAGCAATAAGCAGGTGTTTAAGCCACAGCCTTGTTGCTGGAGTCCCCCGGCTCAGCCACAGCACCCCTAAGGCCACAATTATCTCCTGGAAGTAGCTAGAGGGAACAGAGGACAGGCAGCATCTCACTCCACTGTCTTGGCTCAGCTGGGGCGAAACCAGGCTTGTGCGCACAATGGGACCAAGGATCAAGGAGGGCATCTTGAGTTAGCATGCCTCGTCATGAGGGTTTCCAGAAGAAGGCATAGACTGCCATCCCTTAGAGATTACCCTACTTACACACCCTCACCAGGCAACCCCTGGTTGTAAGCAGAGGACAGATGCCATAGTCAGACATTCAGGTGACACCACCGATTACATGAGAGCACAGTGATCTCAGAGCTGAGCTGGACCCAGCCTGTCCTCAACGCACCGCCTGGAGCCCACCAACCAACCCAACCTTTAAGCTCAGCTGGCAAGTCCTGTCCCTGCAGCTTCATGTGCGCTTTGGTCCTAGGCACTACAGACCATTCTGAGGAGACCTGAAAGGACAGCAAAGCATGTTTTTTTTACTTTATCTGGCTCTTTTTTTTCCTCAGTGTGGACCCAAGGCTGCCAGGTGCCAGAGGAAGGTGCCAGAGAAGCAGCTGTGAAGAGACTCTGTGGGTCCCAGTGGCAGGAGCAGAGCTGTTTCACAGGAGCTCAGAGCCCCCAGCAGCAGTTCAGCACCAACTCCCCACCAAAAATGGCATGTACTCACACCAACAGCTCATCCTGCATTTGCAGCAGAAGGTAAAGAGGAAGCAGCAATGCTCTCCTCTTTGCTAGGCATTGCGAGGAAGGGTGCAGCTGCAAGAAGAAGGTAAGCCGCTCATTCTTGCCATCTGGGAGGTTTAATTCCCATATTCCTGGGGGTCGGGAGAGGGAAGGGGAGGATGGGATGGCTGCCAGCTGGGACTAACTGATTAACAAACGCCTGTGCCACAGGGGCCATCTGCCCATCTCCGGCTGCTCTGGCGTCTTCTGCCGAGCTGCTACCCACAGGCGGTGTGGTGTCTTCAGCCAAGCCAGGCCAACAGCCACAAGGATGCTGGGCACCGCTGGCTGCCACCTTGCAGGGGGGTAATTATTTTTAAGGCCAGCAGAGCACCCAGGGAGCGGATGAAGGCAATTCTTGGCATGAGACAGGACGTCAGCAATGAGCTCTGAGAAAGACGGACAGGCACACAGCGAGCTATTCATGCTCACCCAGCCCCTCCAGGGCATGCCCTGGAAACCGAGGGCACGCTCTGGTTAGTCGTGCTGTGCAATACGTCCAATTAATAAGTGGGTTAGAGTCAGGCAGACTTATCTGCCCCTAGGATGGAGCTTAAGTCTCCTTTCCATGCATTTGTGCAAGTCTTTGGATCTTACCTGCAACGGCCCCTGATGTAACTGTTGCAATTACTGGAGTTTTTCTCTTCTCATTGACTTTAGCCAAAAATTTAAAGAGAAGTCCATCTTCTGCCATAGCGTAAATTATTCGAGGCATCGGAAACATGGAGCCAAGGAGACTAAGGACACAGAAGGGGGAAATAATCTACTTGTATCACCTCCTGCTGAGCACAGGCACACAAAAGCAAGTTTATGGCAGTACAAACACAGAACAGGTGGCTTTTGTTCACTTCAGCTTCTCCTTCAAGGGCTCCCTCCAAACACTCATGTTGCTGATAGCTGGCAACTGAGGTGCAGCTCTGAGATACTGGATACCTAAACTTAGCTACAGGGCATGAAAACAGCCTGACTTTCAGGTAGCGAAACAGCTGTAACTTCTATGAGCCTCTACAAGTTGCTCACCTAACTGAGTATGTCTAAGTTGATCTGAAACAATAGGTCTCTAGAGTGCAGAAGAACATGACATAGTTTGCCTCCAGCCTGCCCGGCCTCCCATCCAGATGGCTGTCCTGCAGGCAACCTGCAGACAGACGGCCCTGGATATGGCAAGCCCCATATGCTCCAGAAGATGCACCCTGCACTACGTGACACAAGTCTGCTCTCCACCAAGCAGGCCAGGATGTCTTGTGGGCAAACCATGCTTGCACTGAGGGGTTGCCTCCATGACTTAGTCACATTTATATTCCAGACATGCACCTGCTGCATCTGCTCCTAAGATGGGAGTTTCTGAAGTGATACTAATCATGTGCATCTCTGAAATCTACCACAGGGTGAAATCCTGGCCCTTTTGATGTCAATAGCTCTGAATTTCATCCCTGGTCTTGGCTCCCTTGACCTAGGGGAACACAGTGAAGGCAAAGCCCTGACATGCACCATGTTTTAAAGGAGCTGGAGATACATATTTGCTTTGAGAGATTCACAAAGGAAGAGCAGTGTCTCACCTCGTAGAAAGCGCACACAAGGAACCGACAGCCACTGCGTAATTGGCTCCATCCCAACCCACATATTTAAAGGCATTGGGTAAAGGGCTATTGGTATCCAGCTGGTAGTAAGGCATCATGAGCGTCAGGGCAGCTGACACACCAAAATAAGCCACGAAGCAGATGAGCAGAGACGCCACGATGCCAATAGGAATGGCCTTCTGAGGGTTTTTTACCTCCTCGCCTATAAGAAAGAAATTGAAATATCAGCTAAACGATGCGCAAGAACTTTATCCCAACCGAGGGCATGCTGGCTGGGGCTTTCAAAGGCTCTGTGGGCAGCGAGGTGCTGTTTGACTGCGTGTGGAGCTACATGCTGACAATGGCCTGCCCCAGCCTGTTGCTCCCGCTTCTGCTGCTCCTGTCACTCCTTCTGACATAGACATTTGTGGAGGCCTTGTAAACTCAGGCACAGAAACAATCTGGATTAAAAGCAGTCCTTTCCCCAAAAAGGGTTATTTTTACCTCCAACTACTCCTGCTATCCCACTGATGGTGCAGCCGCAAGAACAGTTCAATGATCACAAGTGATGGGACAAGACATTATTGTGCCGTTGCAGGGCAAATCCTTGGATGAGCATTTCAGTTAGCATCTCCACCAAAACTACTACACCAAAACCACTCCACTACACACTACTACACTACTACTACTACAGCACCATAGGTGCCCAGTTCCAGGGAAATGCAGACTTTACATGGCACCTGGAAATCACACAGATCTTTGAAAATCCCTCTTAAAAAAAGGGACTCCCTCTAGTTTTTATGGAAATTTTTCAACAACCAGGTTGGAACAAATGTGTAAAACAACAAAAAAAAAAAATTTCTCAAAATTCAGGCACAGATTAATTAAGAAACACCTTTGAGCCCTCCCTGTACTCCAGAGCTGCTCTCCTCTGAAAGCAAAAGCTCCTGAGGTTTGGCATTTCAGGAGGATGAATCAACAAGCAGAGACCCATACACCTGTAAGTCAAAGGCAGATGAATGTGTCTCTCCTCCAAGGAGAAGCTCTAGGGTTGGCTGGAGTAATGGAGCCAGAACTTCTCAAACTCCTTGGAACAAGAGGCAGTACTGCTTTATCTGTCTTTGTGACGATCTCCTCCTCCCTCTGCTCCAGCTTTGAAGCAACTCAGCTCTTGCCAAACGTGAAATTAAGGATAATCCTTTCTTTCTCCAGGGAACTGAGATTCTTCTTAGCCATGAGAAATCTGACAATGCTGATGGTTTCTCTCTCAGAAGGAGATCTCTGAACCTTCAGAGATAAAAACTCCTCCTTATTTTAAGGCATAGTTTTGGCCACAGATGACTCCCTAGAGGCTCCCTCTTTCTCTGTCTCTTTAAATACTCCAAGACAGTGGAGCATCTTCAGCTGAAGGCACTGAAGAACCCTATTCCAGAATAACCTGTTGATTAAAGCATCATCTGGAGTTAGAGGTTCAAACTTCACCTGTCATACAAAGCATCTGAACCTGGGCCTTCCCTGTTTGCCTAACTGGTACAGCTGGCTGTGTTTTCTGTGGAATCTGACCTGGTTAATGTTATCAGTGACCAACCATGGGACTGGGCCCTGCAGGCAAAGAAGGGAGAAAGCTCATTTTGTGGGTTATATGGTCTAGCTGCCTGCCACAGCAGCTAGAATTCATCACTCAAGCACACAGGGACTTGGACATACTCAGCACTTTGAGTATTAGGAGCAGCTGAGCCATAAGTATATTTTGGGCTGAGGTTCAGAGGGATGATGAATGCAGATCCCTGAATTACTCGTTATCTGTGCTGTGCAACATTACCGAAAGTCAATCTATTAGCAACCAGGGTCATAAGCAGAATGAAGACTTCTTTCCTCTTACCTGTAGTAGCAATACAGTCAAATCCCACGAAAGCATAAAAACACGTGGCTGCCCCTGAGAGGACTCCTTTCCATCCATAGGGCATAAAACCTCCAACACCATATTTTTCTTCCTGTGTTTGACTAAAAGGCATGGCACTGGGTTAGAAGTCATCCCGCCTAGGTGGGAGTAACAAAACTATTCATACAGCTCATAACAAAATCCAAAGCTGGGAATTTGAAGGAATGCACTCTCCCTTTCACATGCTAGCTACCAGGCAAAATGCTAAGCCCTACCCACTGCTGAGCGTCAGACTGGCCTGCAACAGCCTGGGGAATGCACGGAATAAAAACAGTTCATGGTTTGTTCCCACCACCTGTTTTTTGGGATGGACAAAAATGTCTTGGCTAAGACAGGGAGAAAATAGCATGAATATTAAAATTCCTCTCCTAATACTACTGCATGTGTGTAGATACACATACTTATTTGAACATAGGCTTTTGAAAAAGCGCAACATGTAAATCTGAAAACTGAAGACTGAGAAAATGTAAACTATCCATTTTTCACCTAAGATGGACTCACATGAAGTGTAGGTGCGTAGACATCAGAGAGCAACGCAGGGTGCCATGACTGTCTAAAATCCACCCAATCCTCCATTCTCAGCTTCAAAATTCCCTGTGCCAACTTCATACCCAAACTGTGCTTGCAACCCTGAGGGAGGAGAGGAGCCTGCATCCCTGACACACCAAATGCTTTGCTGAGCCTCATCCAAAGTTCGTTCAAGCCAACTGACAGACACCTACTGATCCCAGTGCTCTCTGGATCAGGATCCCAGATCCATGTGCCTGTGTTGAGTCATGTATAACATACCACTCAGTTCAAGTGACTTAGGTCTCTTTTTCAGTGAAAAGCCTTTGTAAAGATGAATTAAGGCGATTAAAGTAAATCCCAAATCTGCAAGTCTTATCAGGTGTAAGCATCTGAACTCTCTCGTAGAAGCTCTGTTGAGACTTAGATGAAAACTAGCCTGTTATTTGCAGAAATAGCACAACCCAAACGTGGATTACTCTGGAAATAATGATAAAGTAAAGTAAACCCCAGACAGATTTTACAAAACCATTAAGTGCTACGGGTCAAAGAGCTACAGTTACACTTGGAAGTTATCGCACTAATTGCTCCTTGCATGGGAATAGCAGTAGGGAAGGAGGGGGAACCTTTCCTATAGAAGCAATTTGTTCGCAGCAGGCTGAATTTTGCAGAGAGGCTCAATAAGCGGTTTGTACACAAGCCAAACTTGACCCATGCAATATTTATGAATCTCTCCAGTTTATGCCAAACTGTGCTTCCTTTGCAGGCCAGTATAAAGGGTTTGGATAGCAAACCAGGACTGAGTTGATGTATGTGGAGATATTTAAAGGCCCTCATTCTGTGTTGTACAGTCTCAAGCAAAAATGAACACCCCTGTATCACTAGCAACCCTTGTAAGGTCCTTAATTTTGATTTTGTATAGGAAGACAGAATTTTGGTTCAAGCAGCAAAATGTCATTACAAATGGATTCGTGATATGCTTGCTGCAATGCATTAAAATAATCTGCAACTTCCCTTCATTTTACTGAGGCATTTGGGACAAGGTCTCCAAAAGGTACAACGGTGCCTCAAGGATATTGCTGAAGTGTCCAAAGAAACTACAGAGCTATACTTGGTCATGGCCTCATACAGGCACCAGAGCCAGCCTGGTGTAGCCTTGAGTAGGAGGTTGTCTAAAAAGGTCTTTTCTCTCAAATTTGGATGCAATATTGGTCGTGAGGCTGGAAAGGATCAGTTCTGCAGCAGGGCCCACGTTGACACAGCCTACCTCCTATCAGTTTCAGCCCATCAGCGCAGCCTGCTTTCAGCAAAAGACCACCAAACCCAGCTTTGCCTCCAAGGCATTTGGCAAAGGAGGGAGCCATCCCATTCACTGGTTTTCTAAATCACTCCACAGCCCCCCGCCATAAACCTGCCATTGAAAATGCATCAATTTCAGAGAAGAAGAAAAGATCCAACCTACTTGTGTCCATGAATGCTGCTGTTGTATATGTCATTTTCACTCAGCTGCCAGTTTTTAACAGACCCTTTCACGAAGCCAGAGACCACAACGAAGCCGAGAACAAGGATGTTGATGCAGGTGAACACTTTGTTCACCAGGGCAGATTCCTTCACACCAAAAATTAAAAGCCCTGGGGAAAAAACGGCAGATAGTCAGGTATTTCACCACCAGCAGCAAAATAGGGGGCTTGCAGAGGTAGCCCAGCTCTGTTCATGCTGCGTTCTGCCCACCTTATCACACCTCATTTCTCCACAAAGCCAAGTAGCTCAGGTAGGTCGGGATTTACTCACCCAGAAGGAGGATGAGGACTCCAGCCCAGACATAACTAGTGCAGGACGTGACACACCTTCCCACCCAGCATGCCCATTTGGCACGTGCCCCTGGTAAAGTGCTTTGCTAACACAGCTAAGCTGCTTCCAGCGCTTTCAACACCAGCTCCGGTCGCCTCATGGCGCTACGCTGTGCCACCTAGACTCAGCCTCAAACTCCACCCAGAGACACAGACAAAGCACCCCAGGTGGTTTTTCATGAAGGAACATTGTCTTAGAGGTCTTGGCCACATGCAGAAGTTCAATGTTGATCGTAACTTTCCTTAGAAGGAGGGGAAAATATGAGCAGGGACTGAATCCAGGAGCACAGCTACTTCTAGTGCTGAAGACAGAAGAAGATGGCATCTTGGGAATCCTTCTCCCATTTAAATCAGTGGGAGCTTTGCCAGTGAGTTCAGCAAGAGCAGGATTTCAGCCTGTGGTCTTAAGAGCATCCATCTGAAGAATAACACGCTTACAGGCTTTGGCAACCAGCATCTCACTGGGGCATAGCTCAGCTTCTCAGAACGACAAACTCTAGTAACTTGTGTTTGCTCTTCAAGTGCCTGATTTTCAAGAACCCAAACCTTTAACCCAGATCTAAGAAGGCGGCTGAGGGAGAAGGTAAAAAACTTCACACAGGCTGGAGGGAGGAGAGAAGCACAACAGGGTGTCCTTACTGCTACTCCAAGGCACTTCAAGGAGAGGGGAGCACGGTGTGCACTCACCCTTCCTTCTTTTAAAATAGGAAATAAACCAAGACAGCCACATCAGGGAAGTGTTTGATAAAACTGCGTACCTGCCCAGGAAAACTTGTAAGGTACCTTGTAGAAATCTGAAGCTCCAGACAGTGCAAGCAGAAATAAACTTGTAGTGCTTGATTTGGGACTAAAGCTGCTCATTCAGCAGCTTTTTGTAGAAAAGAATGGTTTGCATTTTTTATTACAATCCAGGGAATATGCTCCATGCAGGGGAATAAAGCCATCGGTAATCTGTATAATTTTATGCCTCGGTAGTGCTAAAATGAGGAGTCCTAAATTTTGTACATTGTATCTGAGGTGGAAGACCAAATTCTAATTTGAAACTAGAGCAATTCCTATTATATACAAATAAACAAAGAGGCAAATCTTCTCTCCCGTTCAGATGTAGTCCTGAAAACAGAGGGCTGCTATCCAGCAGTCCTTGATACAGTCCTAGATCCAAATGCAAACCCAGATGCCAAAGCATCCCTTGCTTATGAAGCCTGTTCCCACAAGCACAGCTCACGCTGCAAGACGGCCATCCTGATCAGAGTGAGAAATGTTGGGATAACCTTGTTGGGGTGACACTGCAGCTTCTGCATTCTGGAAACCACAGAGGCGTACATAATAAGTGTAATTTTTTAAATTTGCCTAAATCTGGCAATGCTTTGCCAGATCCAGTTGGAGTAGAGGTAAAAGTTCAGAAGTATTTTAATTTTACAAATTTTCAAAACTTTTCCAAATTCTGATGAAAGTCTTGGCACATTTTTAGAAAAAAAAGAGGACCTGACTGTTTATCACACATTTATTTCTCTAGAGTCTTGCATTCACTGCTGTAAACTGAAGCCCATATATATTTAAAAAAAAACAAAACAGTACTACATGAGGTTGTTACCGAGTCCCCTATTTTTTTTCTCACTTTCCTGGCTCAAGGCACCGAAAACTGGCAGATTATCAAAGGGGGAATAAGGTTAACTGAGCAACAGAATGAAATTCTTGTGTAATAGGATTTGTGGAGGGAAGGATTAAACTTCCATACCTGATCGAGGATAACAAGTCATCTTTTCTTTTCTTCCTTGTATAAAATTTGATTGAAGGTTTTAAAAGTGGCTCAAAAAATACTGAGAATGCTCCCCTCTAATTAAAAACCTTGTAAACAGGCTATGCCTCGTGCTAACTCCACAGCAGCTATATAGGTCAATCCAACACTTGTAGCAAAGAAAGAGTCTTTGGTATGTTGTCCAAAATAAATCAGGACTTTGTGCCTATTCCACAAGCAAATAAGGAAATTACAGAAGAAGGAGGTCCAAGACTCACAAACCTCTACAAGTTTTTACCTGTTAAGATGATGATTATCACCACGGCGAAGATGTCTGGGTATTTTGCTAGCACTCTGGGAGCATGCATCGTCATGTATTTTTTACAAAATTCTTCAATATGCTGGCCTATGATTTCATCAAATGTCGCACTCCAGGCTCTGGCCACGCTCGAGGTTCCTGCCAGAGGACAGAAAGGATGCAGATCACCCTTCGTGGCTGGCACACGTTCCAAACAGGGGGCACCCTGCATGGCTTTTCACCATGGAGGGCCTCAAAGCGACCTTGCATGCGCTTCCTGGGTGGTGGGAGAAGCCTTTCCTCTGCAGACCCAGCCCACAGCCTGTATTCATGCATGGCATCTACTTTGATGGTAACACACACAGGTGGAGAGTCTCTGACTCCTACTCAGCCAATGAGATAAAAAAATCCTTATAGTGGTTTGGCTGCTTAGTAAATCTCAACTTTGCCTTAAGATACTGCCTAGACTGACATTTTCCCCCCAGCAGCCTGAACTTCCCCCAAACCTGGTAATTTCTGCTATTAGAGAGGTCGCAGTCTTTTCTCATACCAGCAGAAATCCCTGGCAGCCCCGGCTGGGTGACTGCAGCCCTGGCAGAGGGACCTTAGAGAAGCCAGCCAGCCTCTGGCAGTGCGACGCTGGAGCACCAGAGCCTGGACCACAACATTGGTGCAGCACTGTAAGCTCTGCACTCCAGCAACATGGAGGTCTGCTCCGACCTCTGGTGCTACAACATCTGAGCAGGATAAAGACTCAGATATAATTGACAGGTTATCTGAGCGTTAAGTCAGCCTACTGCAGGACGCTGGTGATAATCCCAGCAAACGGCACGACTCCTGCCTGCAGCAAGTGCTTAGACTTCCCCCACCGGAGTCGCCATTTGCTGCGGTTCCCGAGAGCACCAAACCACGCACAGCTTGCCGGGGTGAGGACTGAACCTGCAGTCTCAAGATGACCAAGTCACGGACATTGTCTGGGCCAGAAGAGTCATTTCAGAGAACTGAAATAGTAACAACAAAGAGCTACCACCAGACAGTGACAGCATTGTGTAAAATAAGTAGGTTTGGGTCTTATACAGTACACTATATATAACAGCATCTAATTGCATGATATAATTACTACTGTACATAATTACCTAGTTAAAAAAAGAGGTTGGTTTGGTTTCGGTTTGCAGAGCAATTCCTCAGAGGACGCCATCAGGGCCCTCTTCTACCTAGAACAGTTTGTCCTGACACACTCACCTGCAGGCGGGTATTCAGGTCCCAACTCCAGGACCTGCAATCGTGTCAAACAATGTCCGTGCTCACCTACAGCTAATCCCTCTGCAGCAGCGGTGAGCAGCACCTGGAAAGCTGGGAACGCTCGCCAGCCCAATCCAGCTTTGCAACAGTATAAAAATAAGCTGCAGAACAGACCTGTTTGGAGACTCCTCTGTTCACTGAGACAGCAAAGTGCACAGTGTGAATGCTTTTCAAGAGGCAGGACATCAATGTCATCAATTTAATCTCGAAAAATGCCAAAAGTTATTGTATACCGCATTACAATTTTTCAGCTTAACTTTGGCACTATTTGAGGGAAGAGACTATTTCTTTAGTGCTATTTTTTTTTGTCCTGTCTCTAATATTTCATATTCTAGGACAGGAACAACCAGCTCCTGCATGTGTTCCATTAGATGCCAGTTGCTTGGATGCCAGTTCCATGTTACTATTAGCTGTTTATCCTGAACTCTCCGTAACCAACAGCCTTGAGGGAGCAGGGGGAATCTGACATTCTTCCAACATCGCAGACACCTGGATAATATCTTACCGTTGCTAGAGAGCACGGTGCAAAGACATTCAGCTTGTATCCAGGATTTACTAGTTCTGGGTCAGAATAACCTCGCCAGATTGAGCTGGCTCCTGCCCGCAGCACACAGCTCCCAGGAGATCCGCTGAGCTCAGGTGCAGGGCTCACTGCAGGAACAGGCACGGGCTAGGAGGTCACCATGTGCCCCAGGAAAACCCAGCAGCAGCTACTCACCAGGGATGCGGTTACTCACCGTATTACCAACTCCCACCAGCTTTCAGTTCCTGAAATGCTTCCCACAGTCTGGCATGGTTTCCCAAACCCACATCATCCCAGAAGAAAGTTCACACCAGATCCTGGTCCTGGACACCTTCTTCCTTTTGTCTAGACCACAACCTATCAGTTTCACCCCCAAGACCCCACACCAGTCTTCCCTCAAGCCAAGTCACTTCCATTAACTACAAGCTAATTGCCATCTACCCCAGGACCCTAGGATTTCTTTTTCTACCCCCACAATACTTTCTGAACAGATGTCTTGGAACCTCAGCGCGAAAACACCAAGCTGGCCAAGTCCCTTACAGATGTAAGCTCCCACCACCCCACCTGGTTTCGGTGGCACTGCTTGGCATTTTCTGCAACATGACTGACAAAAAAATTGGCTTTCTGCCCCTCTCAACTGGCTCTGAACTGCAGCACGTGTCTGCCAACATATCTTTCTCCTCCATGCCCCCAAAGCTGCTGGGAGTTGTCCTTGCTCACAAGAGGGGCAATTACCATGGGTAGAAAGGCCAGGTAAGATGAAGAAAAGAGACCTGCTATAGTTCACGTCCTCCCCCAGTTGTTTTTCCTGCTTAGCCACCCTTCCTCCCAAATTATGAGTAAGACAGTTGCAAACATGCATTTTTGTCACAGGACTGAATTAAAATTAACAAAGTTGTGTTTGAACACATTTATGGCTAGTACCTACTTATTTTTGACTGATTCTTCTGCCTCGTGATAATACACTGAGCAGCCAACTCTGAAATAAAAACTGAGGCAGTGGTTCAAAAGCCATTATGAGAGGACAAAAAAAAAAAATCTCAGAAATACCAGCCTCAGCCCAGATCATGGGAGCGTAATGTTCAGTATGTAAATCTTTACATCATGCATTTGCAGAATCAGGTTTTGGGATGGCATCCATGGCTCTGTCAGTCATTTTGGTCGTCCAGTATCACAGTGGAAAGGGCCACATAACTAACTAGATGAGGAGCATGGAGGAGACGATTTATCATTACCTTTCTGGAACAGAAGATAAATGACCAAGAAGTCTGTTCAATTTTTCTATGTGTAGCCTAAGCAGAGTCCATTTTAGAATGGATGAAATTATATGCTTACTTTTTTTAAAAACTATTTTTATCCCCTCCTTGCAGTGAACCTGATTCATAAAAGAACTGCAGGACTCAGATTTCCTAAGGAGATGAGTTTAATTGACTCAGACTTTTCATCCTCTTATTTCTCATTAAAAAAAAGAAAAAAAAAAGGAGGAGGAAAAAAAGGTTTCAGGTAGCACACAGAACAGAGCCAGCACGATCTCAGACAACCAGCTGCTATGTCTCACTATATTGTTCTTGATATGATCTTAGCCTCCCCAGCACCATGGGAACTAATCTCCAAGGTAACACTTACACATACTATAAAATGCATTTTTTTTTTAAAAAAACTCCTTTTAATAATTTAGCGTAACATTGGTTTTCATTTTAACTAGTAAGTCTTCACTCTCAACTGGCAAGTTGGTTGCAGCCTTAATTACAGGCATGATGACAAGCAGCATGCCCAGAATGTGCTTGAAAAGACATGAATCCTTAATTAGCAAAGTGTGGCTTAGTTTTAATATATCAGCTGAGTTGTACACTGCATGCTCTGAGCTTAATCCAAAGCCTCTCCTAGTGGGAGTCAAGGGCTTAGAATGGATTTGGTTTGGACATTTCAGAAACTGTGAACCTGCAGATCACCCTAAGCTTAACCCTGCAGCCATTCACGAGACAAAACTCTGATCTGCAGATACTTTAAACAGGTCTCAAAGGGACCAGGAATTAATCCTTGATCAGCTGGGAGTACAGATGCTGCTGTGTAAAAGCATCCTTCCATCAGCAGCTTCTTTCTCGGCAGAGTTGCAAGCGTGCAGCAGCCAGGGGATGCCAAAGGGATGACGTGGAGATTCAGAGGAATTCGCAGCAGCAATAATCTGGCTTCAGGACAAACCCTCAGCACACAGCACACCACTCACCTCGAACTGACAGGAGCCAGCAACAGTGCATCCTGCAGACGAGTCCTGAAACTCTTGCTGAGTGCAAGAGGGTAGTGTCTGTTTTGTAACAGTAATGCAGGTGCCTGTATTGGGTTTGCCTGGCAAGATTTTGGTAGCAGGGGGGCTACAGGGGTGGCTTCTGTGAAAAGCTGCTAGAAGCTTCCCCTACGTCCAATAGAGCCAATGCCAGACGGCTCCAAGACAGACCTGTTGCTGGCCAAGGCTGAGCCATCAGCGACAGTGGTAGTGCCTCTTAAATAACATATTTAAGAAGTGGGGGGCAGGGGGGGCAGAAATTCCAAACCAAAACACTGGGACACAAACTGCAGCTGGAGTGAGGATATATGAGAGGAACAATTCTGCAGACACCAAGGTCAGTGAAGAAGGAGGGGGAGGAGGTGCTGCAGGCACCGGAGCAGCCTGTGGTGAAGACCGTGGTGAGGCAGGCTGTCCCTCTGCAGCCCACGGAGGTCCACAGTGGAGCAGATATCCACCTGCAGCCCACGGGGGACCCCACGCTGGAGCAGGTGGATGCGTCTGAAGGAAGCTGTGACCGTGTTGGAACCCCGCGCTGGAGCAGGCTCCTGGCAAGACCTGTGGCCCCGTAGAGAGAGGAACCCATGCTGGAGCAGGTTTGCTGGCGGGCTTGTGACCCTACAGGGGAGCCACACTGGAGCAGTCTGCGTCTGAAGTACATC